AGATGTTCTCCCCAAGTTGTAGGACACCAAGTATGGGTTTAGGTATGGCTGGGTGGGCCCTACACCATACATGCTAGTCCCCTATGAACTGAGCATTGAACGACTGAACCAACAATCCTTAAAGGGACCATGCGAGGCCACTCAGAAAAAGACAAGCTTTTGAGTTCTGTTTCAAATGAAAAATGTATTTTTTTGTCACACTCGAGAAAACTGGTCTGTTAACAGCATGTCCCCAATCTGCAGACCAGTGACAGAATCTGTGATTTAAACACTTGCATTTTTTAAGACAGACTCTAATTTAAAGTGGGAAATGGTAAAAGGATAATTGACCCTTCCAGTTTCTAAGACACAATTAAGACTAAAGCTGAGATTGGCAAACAGAACTTCTGAGGAGACCAGAATGTGTTGAAACCATATGAAAGCATACAGAACCATCAGGACTTTGATGATCACAACAGAGCTGTACATGCAGACTAGACACTGAAACTGAGAATTAGTAAGTATACAGCTACTAGGCTCTTTCTGTTACTTGAAACTAAACCTTGGGGAATTTATGTGATCCAGAACACCGCAAGCAGAATTGAGGAAGTTCGGCAAACCTATGTGTTTTGTTAAAATCCAAAAGAATTGTGGATGCTGTAAATAAGGAACAAAAACAGAAGTTGCTGGAAAAGCTCAGCAGGTCTGGCAGCATCTGTGAAGGGGGAGGCGATGGTCTAGTGGTATTATCGCTGGACTGTTAATCCAAAGACCTAGATACTGTTCTGGGGACCCAGGTCCAAATCCCGCTACGGCAGATGGTGGAATTTGAATTCAATAAATATCTGGAATTAAGAGTCTAATAATGACCGAGAATCCATTGTCAGTTGTCGGAAAAACCCATCTGGTTCACTAATGTCCTTTAGGGAAGGCAACTGCTGCCTTTACCTGGTCTGGCCTACATGTGACTCCAGAGCCACAGCAATGTGGTTGACTCTAAACTGCCCACTGGGCAATTAGGGATGGGTCATAAATGCTGGGCGTAGCGAGTGATGCCCTCATCCTGTGAATGAATAAAAAAAAAATCAGAATTAACATTTCGGGTCTGGTGACCCTTCCTCAGAACTGAGGAAGGGTCACCGGGCCAAAATATTAACTCTGACTTTTTCTTCACAGATGCTGCCAGACCTGCTGTGGTTTTTTTTTTGTTGAGTACTGTGTTCATGGAACTCAAGTTGGGTGTGTAGACAAACAAGAGGCTGGAAGATCCCAGCAAGCCAGGTAGCATCTGGAGGAAAGGAGAAGGCAACTTTTCTTCAGGACTGGATGTGGGGGTAGGGGGAGCTGCAGATAAAGAGAGGGGGAGGGGTGGTAGCAGAATGGTGGTGATAGGTGGACACCAATAGTAAGTATGACATGGTTGGTCAATGGGAGGGATGAATCCAGTTGGTGGCTGGAAGGGAGAGTCAAAAGGTGGAATCGAAAGGAAGAGGTGGGGCTGGAAAGGGAGCCAGCGGAAGGATGGGAAGGTTATTTGAAATTGGAGAACTCAATGTTGAGTCCTCCGGGCTGTAGGGTGCCCAGGTGGAAGACCTTTCAAATTTGCGTTCTGAATTGCTGTAACACTGGAGGAGGCCGAGGATGGACATGTTGGAGAGGGAGCAGCTGCGTGCTGTTGTCAGCCAAAACTTAGAAAAGGAGTGAAATTCAGAAGGACTTTGTGACTGAGATTGATACCACCCATGCTGAATGGACAGCTGAGCTAATGTGTAAAATCAGGTCTTAATTTCATTAGCAATATAAAGCTTTTAATTTGTTCATGGCTTTGCCAGCTTTTATTGCCCATCTCTAAATGCCTAGAAGGTCATTAAGAATACAGCATATTGCTGTAGATTTGGAATCACAAATAGGTAAGGACAGCAGACTTCCTTCCTTAAGGACTTAGTGACACAGATGGATTTTTACAACAATGGTTACATGGTCACCTTCAGACCAGTTTTGATTTTAAAAGTTGAATTCAAACTTCATCATCTACCATGGTGGGGCTTGAACGTGCACACCCCAGAACAATCAGCTGGAAGCTCTGAATTATTAGCCCATTGACTTTACTGCTATGCCATGGCCTCAGGCCCAGTCTCTGACTAATTCTTGAGATAACAAGGCGTAGAGCTGGATGAACACAGCAGGCCAAGCAGCATCATAGGAGCAGGAAGGCTGATGTTTCGGGCCTAGACCCTTCTTCAGAATGATGCTCCTATGATGCTGCTTGTTCCTGCTCCTCTGATGCTGCTTGGCCTGCTGTGTTCCTCCAGCTCTACACCTTGTTGTCTCAGATTCTCCAGCATCTGCAGTTCCTACTATCTCTGACTAATTCATGTTTAGTTTATGTTGATTCTGGGTTTTAGAGTGCAGGCGGCTGCACAGTTGATAGTATTTAGTATTTTCTTTGTTTGGTTCTTGTATAGTAAAAAAATCTTTTTGTTTTAAATCATTCCATCTTGCAATTTCATTATTTCAGTTAATGATTTAGATTCTGGAGTTCTCTTTGAGAAAGAAAACCGTTCTGGCCTCACCCAAGATCAGAATCAGTCTTAATTTCTGGGCAGGTCTTCACAGAAACTGAATGATTTCCACTATCCAGAACTGATGTTCGTAAACTCCAGATGATGTCTGAATCTTCTTAGTGTGCTGCCAACTTTTGCTTGCAACTCTCAACCTTCCTGCAGATATTTATTTTCCTGCTTTTTAAAAAAAGAAAGCATCTTCCAAACAGATATCCCTTTGGACTGTTTTTTTTTTCATTTCTGTGTTTTTTCTTTAGGTAAAAACTGGAGTAGGAAGCATAGATGAGTCATACAAGATCAATCACACTACATCATTTGCCAGGATTTGGCATAGTGCACTTCATACTCCCACAGTCGATTCAGAACTGCAATTCTTTGAAAAACAGTCTGTGCTTTTCATCCTTCAACTTTTATTGGTTAACAACAGGACTGGAGGTTGCAACTGAAGATGGGCTGTTGAAATGAAGCCTGTGAATGAAAATTGAATTGATTGATCCAGCTGCACTCAAATGCAAAGCTTCAAATTCATTTATTGGAATACATTTACGGTCTTAAACAGCACACATTTTTTCCCCCTGGTGTCTGCGAGCTCTGACTGAACTCACTCTTCCCTATCTCTATAACACAGTGAGTCCCAACAACCTTAAGGTCTCTAGACTCCTGCAATTATAGTCTCTTTTTTATCCCCAGTTTTAATCATTCCACATTTGGCGGTTCTGCCTTCATCTATCTCAGCCCCATGGTTTACAACTCCATCTTTGTACCTCTTCACCTCACCATGTTTCTCTCCTCACTTAAAATGCTTCTCTTGTAGCTCTTCAACCAACAGCAAATGTCTTCACATCCTCTTTGATCACAGGCAATGTTCCAGAGCACTGGAGATTAGCTGATGGTGTTCCCTTGTTTAAGATAGGAAGCAGGAATAATCCAGGAAATTATAGGCTAGTAGGCCTGATGTCTGTGGTGGGGAAGCTCTTGGAGAAGATACTGGACAAGATATATGCACATTTGGAAGAAAATGGACTAGTTAGTGACAGGCAACATGGTTTTGTACAGGGAAGGTCATGTCTCACCAACCGGACTGAATTTTTTGAAGAGGTGACAAAGATAATTGATGTGGGAAGGGCTGTGGATGTAGTTTATATGGACTTTAGAAAGGCATTTGATAAAGTCCCACATGGCAGATTGGTACAAAAACTAAAATCACATGTGATTCAGGGTGGGCTGGCTGGATGGATACAAAACTGTCTTGATCATAGTAGACAAAGGGTAGTGGTAGAAGGGTGTTTTTCAGAATGGAGACCAGTATCTAGCGGTGTTCCACAGGGATCAATCTTAGGTTCTCTGTTGTGTAGTATACATAAATGATCTGGAGGAAAATGTTGGTGGTCTGATTAGCAAGTTTGAAGATGACATGAAGCTTAATGGAGTTGCTGATAGTCCTGATGATTGTGAAATACAACAGGATATAGATAGGTTGGCAACTTGGGCACAGAAATGGCAGATGGAATTTAATCCAGACAAATGCGAAGTGGTGCATTTGGAGGATCAAACGTAGGTGTGAATGATACAGTAAATGGCAGAACCCTTAGGAACATTAACATACAGACGGATCTGGGCATGCAGGTCCATAGTTCCCTGGCATCTTTTGTGCCCATGCCATCTATGAAAGGTGACTGTGCACCTACCAGGACAAGGTAATGTTGGCAATCTAATGTTGCCCCCTCGCTGGCTACATAGTGGCACAGTAGCCACAAAAACATATCACCCAAGGCATAGGGCCAGCTCATACATACAGCTGCCTTTTTTCACCCCAGTCACTGATTAACCACCAAGCCACACACTTTACCTCTCTTCAGTTACATTCTCTCTAAACACCCTCTCAGTGTGCACTACACTGTCCCCATTGACATCTGCACTGCCTGCTTTCTGTCACAGTCCTGAAGAAGAACATCAAACACAGGCAAACAATTGGACAAATACAAACACAAATAAGAATAAAGAACAAAGAACATCCAGCACAGGAACAGGCCCTTTGGACCTCCAAGCCTGCACCGACACATTTTGCCCTTCCATACTAAAACTGTCTT